AAGCTGCCGCTAGCGCGTACTCACAAGCGTTTGTTGGACAGCGACGAAGTGTAACAACAGACACTGGAAGTAGGATCGCTGTAACTCCCTCCACTCTAGTAAGGCGTCCGGGCGCTGTAATCAATGTATGCCTTTCAAACATGTAAAAAGAGGTTTGTTCATTAATATACGGATTCGCACCTTATGTATGACCCTCGGCAAGCTACCGACATAGACGCTATTGAGCTTCAATCTTTATGCAAACAGTAAGCAGCTGCAAACGCGTTAAATCTTCTAATGCACACTAACGACGGGCAGTAGTTCCAGTAGTTCCTCTAGAAGGCAAATTTAATCTGAGAATCGTACTAGGCACCTCCGTCATCCGTAGTAGCTCCAAAACTTCGTTTTTAAAGACTCGTTTTATCGTTTACAAGAAATGTGGAGTTTTGCTTGAATTCGCGTTATTTCGGCAGGGGTTAGAATATCACAGTTTTCTGACAAAGAGATTTCTTACCACCAGCAGCAGGGTGAGCACACGGACGGCGACTTGTGCGTGAATTGGTTTATAGCGGCGGTAGGCTTGCGCTGCATCTGCCGCACTCTCTCTTCCTTTCCTCGCCCACCTGAGCCTGGTCTCAAGACGGAGTCAAGAAGACCGGAGGCGGGATCGGGCGCAGTGGCTTACAAAACTAAAAAGACCGCCTGCGCGTGCCGCCAGGCCTGCTCCGTGCACAGTAGATTAGGATTTCAGCTAAACAACAAGGAGGCCGGCTCGGATCCATTTTGAATGGAAATGCGGTAAGGGTCGTATTAAGAAGTGACCATTGCAGCCTGAAGCTTCATCCTGAGGGGAGACCGGGTTATCCTGTGAATTGGCAGCCTCCCAAACCGCGGCATTTAGCGTACCTTAAGAGTTGATAGACGCGTCAGATTGTTTATGGTAAGGAATATGCACTGAGTGCCGTGGGAACTCAGTCCACACAGTCAACGTCACTCGTGTTTCCGTCTCCCAGACATCAGCCTACTGTCAGGGCCGGTCAGTCATCTTCTGCGCAGTGGCTGGTAGAGCTAGACGACCCGTCTGCGCGTGCGACACACACGATCCGGACCCCGACATCGTCCCGGATTTTCGCACGAAGGGTGCGCGCCGCTCGGATCCTACACGCGTGGGAGTGAAATAGTGGCCACATCACGGTGGAGCTATTGTGCATGACTCTTAGTCAACTAATAGGCTGCTCCACACAAACACATACAGGGCCAACTGCGAAGTCTGAGTTGTACCGTCAGTTGGCACCTTCCTGATACACGGCGTCTATCGCATCCTGATAGTTTCTAATTCGTCAGGTTTATTGTAATTTGGAAGACTATGAAGTGCTTAAGGGATGGATTCTCCAAATTCGATCTCTTTGCTTTTCCGTGGGCCAGTCAACCGCCGGAGCCAGTCAGCCTGCCGATGCCAATATTGGGTGCAGTGACTGACAGCTAAAACAGCCCGTCTACGCGTGCTACACGCACGACGTGCCCCATGACACCAGGATATCGAAACAACGGGGTTGCGCTGCTCAGATTTCATATGTGCTGGAGTAACATAGGGACCATATGGAGATGGAGCCGAAGGACACACCGCCCGCTTACGTAAGAGGTGCCTAATCTGCGCAGTGTTGTGATGTTGAACGCGTTTCTATGCAACGTATGTGTTAAGGCGGAAATGTGTGTTGGTGTGGTATAGTCTGGGACGATTCGCCGCGGACTTTCATTGAGGCGCGCGTGGTCGGGCAAGCCCATGCGGTGACTGCATGTGTGTGGGCAGAGAGTACAGTTGAGGCGGACATTGGTTCGCCGGTGTCTGCACAATGGATTTGCAAATGATCAGTCAGGCCGATGCCTAATGTGCCTGTACCTTGACAGTATAAATAGAATAGGCTGGTAGCTGTTGTGTTGGTTGTGGAAGTGATGCTGCTTGTGGTGGCGACTCCTGTAGAGGGGATGTTAGTAGTTTTGGGGTGAAAGTTGCCGGATGCGCAAGCTGGGCTTGACATGCTGACGTTTCAGCAAACTCCACTGTTATAGTCAGAAGTAATGCCCTGTGTGCTATGAGTTTCGTATTGAAGCGACGTCTACGGCGGCCCCAGACGGAGGCCTTCAGCCGACCGAAAGCCTGGCCGGCTTTGGAGATTCAGTGAGCCACTTTATCGTCTACCGTGGTGTTCTTTGACATGGTACTGCCTGGGTAGACGAACGTGTCCACGAATGGTAGTCGGGCCCCATCCACATTTATACTGGGTGCAGTGTGTTCTTTTCTTATGCAGATTGGTGCATGAATATCTTTTTGTCCGTGTTGATGGTCAGCAAGAAGTTTTCGCGGTCGGGGGCGAAAGAGTTTGTGCCTCTTCTCATGGCTACATCTACCGTGGCGTCGACTGCACGGTTGTCCGCGAAGAGGAGTTAATGTACCATGGTAGTTGAAGTCCAGATGAATGTATGCATTCAGCGGATGTTAAGAAGCTGGCTGTCAGTCCTGTAGACGTTGCTGATCCAAGCGTACTCAACGTGACAGGCGTCTGGCAGCATGGTGGGGAACATGAGTGAGGCAGTTGGGGAGCGAGTGCGCAGTCCTGCTTCACCTACATTGGTCATTGCAAATGCTTCCGGGAGTGCCCCACATGCTCATTCACGAAAAATGCGGTAGACAACCCCCCCCCCCCCCCGCTAACCCACACCATCACATCTTCCTTCACCTACATCATGCAACATCATTATCCATCACAAGCATCCAATTGCTACCTCCTACGCAATTGTGAAATGTACATCTCGAATCCGTCTTCATGCGGCCCCTACTACATGTATGATTCGAATCTGAGGCCATCGCGGCGTGTCAAGCGTTGTGGCCTGGAAGGCTGCTGACTGACGCCCCCAACTCAGTCCACGCAGTCTGCCCAGTCGTATGTGTAAATGTGTGGAGTGGCGTACTGGTGGGCGGAGGACCAGACTGAAGCGGCTTCTTCTTAACGTGACCTACGTCATTCTTACGCATGTGAGATGCACGCCACTCAACCTCCGTTGTGCGTGTTAAGGGAGGCTAGGTCGTGCATATGGCGCGCGCAGACAAGGTCACTTGATATGTCAGCCACCGCGCCCATCCCCCGCATTAGTCAACTGACCGGCTCAGACAGTGGCTGAGGCCTGGGAGTGGGGAAGGGAGGGTGAGGTCGACGGCTCGGCGCATTTTCCTCACTATACACAATCTGACGCACTTGAAGCTATCACGGCGCGCTATAAGCCGTGGCTTCAAAGGTTGCCATCTGACGGGATAACTTGGACCTCGCAGTCGGCCCAGTGTTGTGTGTTTGTGTGGAGTGACTAACCAGTGGCCTAAGAGTCATTCGGCAGTAGCTCCTTCTTAATGAGGCCTTTATAGAACTCCCACTCTGTGGGATCCGAGCCAGATGTGATGGCACGCCTAGAGGGCGGCTTCGGCCGCACCAGTCCCTTTTGTTGTTCTTGTTGTTGGTCAAAATCTTGGCCATTTGCTGTGTAGGCCAGGGTGTGTCGAGTGAAGAGCCAAGGTGCGGACTCAACCGTGCTATCCTCCTGCGCTCTCCCCTGCCTCTGCTCTTCTTGATTTTATCTGGATACTGGGTCTAGGTGGAGGAGGGGGTAGAGTGCGGTAGATGCTGGGCAAGTCGCCTATCACTATAAACTAAATCTCGCACAAGTCACCGTGTCTGCTGCACCATGCTGTAGCACACAGCTGACATCATCGGAATCAACGGTCGAACTGTCGTGTGTGTATGGAAAGATACTTCAATTTTTCTGTAGTTTTCCGTTCGCAATGGTTGCGGGAATTTACCACTGAGCAGAGTCCAGTCTCGCAGAGCCATGGATGCGGGTTTTGTGCCAACAAACCACATGCGACGCACACTAAGGCTAGATCACAGGAAAATATGGCAGGGCTCAGGCCAAGAGAAGTCACGGGATTGAAAAATCTCTTTCGTAGGTTTAGTGCTGGCTTGATAGTTGTGGACATAACATCAAAATCAAAAATCTGCGAAATCAGAAAACATACGCTCTTTGATCTATGAATAAGGGTGCAGTATTGTCTCGACTGAAATGCCCTGTGGGCTATGTGCATCCGTTTGCAATACCCACTAAACACTAACTTTTGATTGCTTGTTTTGTACGTACTGGTGAAGAACTTCCTTTATGTTGTTGGCCTCCGAAACTATCACCTGGGTATAATTCTGACTTTGACATCCGCTTTTCATATGCGTATAGCCACCCGAAAAGACAAAACCCGCAATTTGCATTGAGATTAACAAAGATGTTTAAGGAGTATTTCTTTAACATCCGGCCTTCTTACTTGATGGATGCAAACAAGAATTAAATCATTGCCTTTTGAAACGACCAGGAATAACTAAAGTAATTCTTTAGCCGTCATCCAACGAACGCAAGACATAAAAGAATGCTTAATAGCTCCACATTCATAAGCCGACACTGTTGTGTCATTACTCACATCCGCCAACCGCTAATAAAGATTTGTGCACCGTTTATTTTTTCGAAGGTCCTCCTAGGCTTCTTTAGAACGTACGTCTTCGCAAGATGAGATTCCAGTCAGGCCTGCTGTTTTAAACTAAATCTTTTTTGGCCTTCAGGTAATCCAGGAACTCGTAGTTACCGGGCACACCGGTAAGCAGAAGTGGCTTCCTGTAAACACGCACAAGCTTTGCCCTATCATAGGGCACTCAGCTAAAATTTAGGGAGCATGATATTCTTGAGTTTCGTTGATTACAGGGAAGTTATAAGTGTCATTCAAAGGGTAATCGGTCCACTAGATGGATACAAACAGAAAGGGGGGGGCTTCGTGGAAAGACCGTACTAATTATCTCTCTGGAAAACAAAAGCCCCTGGTTATCCACTTGCTACGTTAACCTCACCAAGCCTCCGTTGCATGCGTTCATTTGGTTGGTATACCTCTGTGTAGAATCCAAAGGTGAGCCAACGCGTTGCGTTAGACCTAATAGATGACCAGCTATTCTGTTGCGATAGCCCCATCTTGCTGTGACAATATGGCACATCTCAACGATGCGACTTCCATGTGAGTGAAGTCTGGTTCATTTGGATTAAAAAAAAAACAGGCGCACGTAGCAAACGTAGAAGGATGAAAAGTGCCTGGTCGGCCACTGTGGTCGACATCATCTCAGGTCCTATTGGCCTTATCTTGCCAGTCGATTATTGTGGATGTAGGAGGAGATGGGGCGGGGTCGCTGTTTAACAAGTTTTCCTCAGCATAAACTAAGTCAACGGCGAACCCTGATGCCACTCCAGTTGGTCTCTATCAGCAATAGCAGATGCATTATAATATAACTGTAGGATATATTTCGTCAGTAATTAAAAGGGCAGCAGCAAGACTTGTTGAAGTAAGAAGAAGTTAGAGTTGATTCTTGCTACTTAGAATTGAAATATTGAGGTTGACCGGGTCTAGGAATTGACTGAGTGCCACCTCCTGGGTTGACAAGACGTACTGGATGTCTCGTAACTCCATCCTTGATTTCTTTCATTTCCGCATGCCCTTTTAAGCGACGCTCCGACCGCTGTGACCCACCACCTGAACTTACACCGAAGTCAGCGAGACGAGTCGCAGCTCCGACAACGCGTCCTCATGGAAGCCGTCACCATAGTCTCCGGTTGGATGTACGAAGAGCCCTGCTTCATTGATCCTTCTGTCTACGGTGAGGGTAACGCGCGTCATATTGATGAGGTGCGGCAGCGCTTGCGAGCTTTTCGGGCCGGTATTAGCAGTTCCGTCATGGAGCAACTGGCAGCTGCCGCCCGTCGTTGTGAGGGAACGCTCATGCCACCAGCTTTACCTTCTGCTGATGCTGCCGCTGCCGCCGCCGCCGCAACCGCCTTGGTCCACGCTCCTTCCAAAGAAGAACCGAGCACGCCCTCGATGCTGGCAGTGGCGACTCTTACGTCATCTGGCCGGCAAGCGAAGGCTTGCAGTACCCTTTATCTACCTCCCTCAGGATCCGCCTATGTGCGCACACCAAACGAGTCAATTTATGCGGGCGACGTGACAAGCAAACTCAGTGAAAAGGCTTGCACACCGCATGGCTCCCGAGTAAGCAGTGGGTTGCTAAATTTTGCGAAAGAGGAATTTAGAACAGTCACAATCGCAGTTAACCATATCTGGGTACGCAGGCATAACTAAGATGCTCCTAAATGATCCAACATTGAACGAAATCAGATGATGAGGGTGTTTTCGCTGGAACATGAAGTTTACTGGCCTGACGTTACCGATTCTCACTCAGACCCATCACCACAGACTGCATGAGGGATAGACGCAAAGCGTGGTCCCGCGCGGATTTATACACAAATTCTTTCCATTCACAGTCTCAGTCCGGATTTCCACCGAAGAGTTCCAAACAGCTACGGCAAAGTCTCTGGCAAAAAAATTATCGCCCGCTCGAAAACACATTTGCTCGTTCAAAATATTCCAAATTATGGCCTATAACAGCGCTGGGGACGATAATTTTGCGTAAAACATCCAATTTTTATGTAAAAACAAAGCTCACATTTCGGGAAAAGGGCTTACTTCATGCCAGAGGTCTTTAGGGAACTACCCCTCCGCTAGGCCTTATTATTTAAAAGAGCGACGTATTCCAGTTCGGAACAGAATTCGCCAGGTATAAACATTCTCAGAGGCCTCCTTGAATACGCATTTAGTCTGATATCTCCCCAATGCCAGATGACTGATGGTCTCGGACAATGGACTGGTGCTCGAGGTGGGAATGAGAGGGTGATGTCGACATCGAGGAATCCATCCTCGCGGCACTTCGGCGAACTCCCCACTAAAGCAAATCTGACGTGTTTTTGGTACCATCACGATGCGTTAAATTCATGGCTTCGAAGGCTGCCAACTGCCTGGGTAACTCGGCCCTCGTGGTCAGTACTGGGTATGTATGTGAGGTAGTTGGTTCGAGGACTGGGAATCAGGCCCAGTGGCTCCCTTTTAATATGGGCCCCATGGCACTCAGGAACGAGAGATCCGAGCCAGCTCCCTGGCTGGTATATTGTGCGGGTGCAGGTCGTGTGTGGTACGCGTTGATAGGTTCGTTAGTGTTGTCATGCACTGCGTCCAAGCCCACTTCCGGTCGTCCTACCGTCGATCTTTTCATTTGTCTCATTGGATTTCCAAAATGCACTTTATGTACTCCTTCTCAGAATGTATCTCCCCGTGACCCAGTGCTCGTAAAATAATGCAGCGTTACTGAGACTACGGACGCCAGATGATAATGCCGATGGCCTAAATAGCACCGTAATTACACTTATTGTTCCCTCAGGTGAGGCATTTAAAAGACGCAATTACCATAAGTATGAGAACGACTTCTTGTGCACTTCTCCTGGGAAGTATGATTGTTTACATAAAGGCGGCAAAAATCAATAAAAACATTCGCAGCACCCAATGCGTTTCGTGACGCACACAGGCGTTCGTGTGGATTTGTCAGCGGAACATCTTGGATGAATTGGTGTGATTTTACAAGTCCACTCAAAAAACTACCGTATATAAAAGTACACATAATCTCAGCTAGTACTTCGTGAGTTTTAGCTCCTAATATAGGTTTCCACACAATTACTATAAGAAATGAACTTTAATCCTTTCAGAATACGACAGAAATAATATATTCCATTATCCAAATTCCTACTAACAAATGCTACAAATCTGCGTAAAATGGCTATTGAGGAACACGAATTTTAGGGTATGACTTTGGTGTGTCCACAAGTTTTTTTTCATTAAGGCGGCCTTAGCTGATCTTATGAATAGACCCTTAGACCCGAACGGCTAATAAAACCTGCTCCCTGGATTATATTATTCACAGCATGGGTACGCTGGCCAGGTTCTGGATAATCGAGAACGTTTCGGTAAAACCGACATCTCTAAAGCGTCCTGCAAGTTTTCGGCGCCATCAGCCTGCACGCACCTCCTAAGTCCAGCCGTGGGTTTGAGACGCACAGTTGTCTACTTTACTAACGAGCATCTTCGCCACGTATCGCCCGCCATGCAGCGTCTGATTGAGGCCTTTTCACCGGGCCCTAAAGACCTCTGGCTACCTACCCGTGTGGGGTCTATTGACAGAAAAGATTGCGGACCAGTTAGCAGAGCTCCTCCGCGGAATCAGGTCGTCAGGAGGCACGAGTGCTTCGACGGCGGCGGCGGGGATCATAATTCACACAGTCATCACTGTCGACACAGCACCCACCATCACCCCTGTCCCCTGCTGCCCAGTGGGTCGGCGGAACGGGTCTGCGCCCACCACGATGACGGCTATAAAGCCCCTGTTTTCAACGTTGACTTGGACAACAGCCTGCGAAACTGTCATGGGGAGCTCGTTCGTTCTCCTCGAGCGCCGTCGCCCGCGCCTAGGGACAGAGAGAGCCCAGGGGGTGTGTCTGCCCTCTCGGCTGCCCGGCATCCAATTTGGGACACTCCGGATGTCTTAAAAACTTCCACCAAGTACCTGTCGTTGGACCTCTGACTAATACTTCTGCAGTACTGACTTTTGTTTGTTTATCTTGTTTGTAGACATAATTGAAAAAAACTGCCTCCCAAGAGGATGCCCACGCCAGTTTTGATATTGTTACTGGCTTCATTATTCCCATCGGGATGCCTTACTGCCAGACAGACCTTTCGACAAATTACTCGCCGCGAGTTTATACATAATATACGTTTATTCGTTAAGGCAGGCCTTAACATACACGACAGGACATGAAAATAAATACCCTGATAAACTACGTCCCTATAGTGTCTACCTATGTGATTTAGATGGCTTGACATATATTAGTAATAATATCTGAAACCAATCGTCGTTAATAGCGCCTTCTCTCGTCCCTGCCTAATTAGCGTCCTATCGGCCGAGTTGATGCTCGCTACTTTCGCGGGCGTCTTATATAGCGTCCCTGATATGCTTCATAGTCCATCGTCGGTTTCATACTTGTCACCGGCAAGGTCGTTGGAAAACGTCATTTTTTCCTTATGTTGTCGGCTGTTAAGCCGCGAGCCCTGTTGCGGACAACAGGAAGGGCGTACTTTGCCCCATGAAGAACACTGCCGTCCACTGCCTTCGCTCCGTCCCATAGATTCCTTCCTAATTCAGGGAATAGCGTTTAGACCGGCGTTGCGAGTCCGTGCATTTCTGGCTTCGTCTTGTGCACCTGCTAGATGGGGTATCATAGTAATTACTTGGTTTTCTGCTGATTGAGAAAATCGGGCGGCGGGTGCCAGTGAGTTCTTTAGTCCTTCGTTTTTTTCAGCCAGTCGCTCACCAGGTCATGGAAATACGTCCACTGTCTCTTCTTTTATGCCGTTACCAATGTCGCCGACGTCCGCTCTTTTCTTATTTCTCACTACTACTCCGGTTAGCGGTTTCATGTTACAAATGGTGAGACCTACAGTTTCTCTCTACGCTTTATCTTACCGTTCTCGCTGATAACCGTCTTCAGTGGATTTTCTGTCACGTAAGCCTGGTAGTCATCTGGTGGATTCTAGGTGAATTACTTAGGAAATCCTGCTTGGGCGGTCAAATTACTGCATCAACTCTGGTGGATTCCAGACGTTGCAGTAGGTTGGGCGGGTAACCTGATCCAAATGTGATTAATCTCGCGTCATCCAGCGGGACCTCGTAATTCAAGTGGTTAGAGCGTTGGCTGTACCAAAGCCATCCCCTTATTGCGTGGGTTGGAACCCCACCGAGGCGCTGAGTTTTTCACAGTTGGGTCAGTATGAATTATTCAAAATCTGCCAAAACATCCATGATTTTCTGTTAATTGCCCAGTTGGTCGCGTGCAAGCGTCTGCACAGGCACCGACAATTTGTGATTCCGCAGGCCTACCTGAATCAAATAAGTACACAATATAGGAATATATTCCAGGGAGGGAACATTTACTCTCGCACCCAGGCAAATACACTTTGTGCGCGACTCTGACGGTCGTTGCAGCCATTACGGGAGGTGAGTCCGAAAGAAGCCGTCCTAAAAGCCAATGAAACGACTTAATCGGTCCTTGTAAGTCCATCCTAGAGCGACACTACTCATGCTTCTTTTCCTAGCCATACTCTTCTTATAAAAACTGTTGACAATGTGTTTACCTATGCAAGACCTGTGTAATGCATCTCTAGATTATTCTATAATTACCTAACGGTCCCACGTACACAGTAAAAATCCTTAAACATAAAGAGCAAAACGGCTTACGCGCATCTACATTTAAACAAACTGACTAAGCAAAACGAGGGAGGGATCTAAAAACTACGTCAGATCCAAAGTTTTCCCGAATATCCAAATGACCGCAGTTTGACCCCGTAGTTCAAATCAACGCTTTAAGGCTAGACTACTGCTAATTGGCAAAACGTCCCCTAAGTAGTGGTGTGGAGGTCTGGAATAAAGATAGTCGGATGCTTCAAGGGGTGCAAGTCCGAGAGTAAGGTAGCTTGCGTTGCATCCATTATGCTTGACTAACCCACTGTGGGAAACTTATGCCTCAAATTTCCAAAATCAAGAAATACGTCGCCAAGATAGCTAAGTGCATTCTTTGTCAGTGGCCACCCATAATTCAGCGATTGCCATTGGTTTTGTGGCGTAGACGCCAACTTCTAATTATTCCTATGAGTTTATAGGTGTGAGGTCCGGTGAATGAGGGGCGTAACCTACTAAATTCCTTCGTGCAATCTATTCGTTTGACAACATATCATCAAACAAGGAATTTTAAGTTAGGATGGCAGTTTCTAACCTTGATTTAAATTTACCCAGTCCCCGTGACTGGTTTATAAACACAGGTTAGAGTTGGCACTACGGTTGACCAACCCGCGTAGCCCCTGTCGTTCGACCACGCGGCAAAAGGCAGCCGCTTCTTAAAAAAGAAAACATGACTAGACGGCTGTTCCCCCAGTAGTCCAAGCAAAATGATCGAACCCTGCTAAGTACGCTGCTATTATCATTCCATAGAACAACCCTACTAAATTGCGCTTTGCGCAACCTCTTCGATCGATTTTCCTCCCAAATGGGAAGTTGTGAATGAGGCTTGATTCAGGCGCAGCCACCCTTCGCCGAATGCGTATGTAGGGTCTGGAATTGCCCTCAGTAAGCCCCAGGGTTCTAAGTGGGCAACAATATCGTAACCGTTCTGCCAACACACTTAATTTCATACGTAATCCGACATGTCTTTGCTCAGTGACCATAAACTCGCTACGAGTAACCATAGTCAAGTGATTCGGATAAAGACAATGCGCTAGTCCTGGACAGCTCACAAGCAAAATAATTAACCGCGTTTCTAATTGATGCCGATGGTCCCATATACGTTCACCATCATTTTCCGGAACTCAAAGTCGTCCTTGAAAAACTTCGATGGCCTGTTAAAGGGCATGATGTCCCAGTGTTTGGAGATAACTGTCCGCCAAGGCAGTTAGACTAGACGCCTTAGTCAGAAATGTGTTATATTTTAAAGAGCGGGAGTCAACACGGCCCTACGCTGCTATTTGTCCAGTTGCCGATCGTAGCATAGAATGCAGTGGCTGAGGGGTAAAGCTTAGAGGCGTGGATTATCAAGCAGTATAGTACAGTCAAGTATACTGTGGTGGGTGAAAGTCGGGACGTACGACCGTGTGTCAAAAATGATACGTGTGAATGCTCAGTTACACAGCATCTTTGTCAAATATACAAAAGAGCATATTGATATGTGCGTGTGTGTGTGTGTTTATACAAGAACTGTTTTTTTACAGGGGACGTTGGGCTGAAGATGACACAAACCTAGCGTCGGCCGTCAACCGAGCGGCTCTGTAGAGCTCCTCCCTAAATTGGCGCCAGGTAGGATGCCATTCTGAGTTGCTGTCAGCCGGGCAGGTTAGCCGCATTACTGCAAATGCTGCCTGCGGATCATTTTTGGGATCTTTGAAGGCTTCTGGTCGCACAATAAGCGGTTCTGGCAGACGGAGGCTGCCTGCAGTTCGTTTGGCCCACTCAAGTGCCGCACCATTACCCTAGAGTCAAAATACGCTGATGGTGAGATTCGCCTAGAAAAACTGGCTGCATGGAATGGGTTCTGAGGGGACAGATAAAAAGTACAAGTCGGAAACTGAGAAGGCGAGCTCATCAGGGCTTAAGCAAAAACCATAACCTATTGATTGAAGGCAAACGCGTGAACTTTCAAAAAAGCAAGCTCGTTTTCTAAGAATGAATTACATGTACACCCTTGAAAGAAATGGAGTATAAAGGCAAAGAGTCCATCCACCTTTCGCCGCCCTTCAGGTACGAAGTAAAGGAAGTTGCTGCTAATGAACAGAACCTCTTCCCACAGGTCGAGGACTGCGTCTCCGACGGTGATTAAATGTACTATTTTCCCATACAGTAATCCCTCGCCATATCGCGCTCCGACTTTTGCAGCTCTACTCTATCGCGTACTTTATGCGCAAGCATATCTAGATATATATACATATCGTGGATTTCTGCGGACAATGGGTCTTTTTGTATCTGGCACATGCTTTCATAGTTGGCTGTCCAGCGGATTTCATACGCGGGACGTCATTGCCTATAATTTCGTTGAAATATGTATTATCATAATGCCATTCGCTGCTTTGCGGCTGCTGACGAGGCTCGAGAGAGAGGCCCGAGGCACGACGTGGCGAGTGAGTTCCGTAACGCGATCGGGACGCAACCCTCCACCATTATTATAACAATGTGTTTAAAACTTATTACGTATTAAAACTTCGGTTGGATACCAGTGTCGCAACACTCCGTTACTGATGCTAGTATTATTGCAGTAAGTTACCCATACTGTAAGCGTTGGTAGAGTAGCATTGGCAGCCGTGGTGGCGGTGGTAGTAGTAGTAGTACTAATAGTAGGATTATTAGTAGTATTCGCCGCATCAGTGGTGGTAGAAGGGGGAAAAGGTTTTCTTCAGTGTTGCGACACTGTATTCCCGCCAGTGGTAGTAGTATTAGTAGTAACAGCGGTAGTAGTGGTAGTAGTAGCAGTAGTAGTGGTGGTGGTAGTAGTAGTAGTAGTATTAGTGGTGGTAGTAGTAGTCCGCCCGTAAGACAGGCTGGTGGGGGAATAGACAATTCTAAGTGTTGCGACACTGTATTCCCGCCAAAACTTCTAAATGATATGCGCAGTCCACGATTTCGAGAAGACAGTCATTCAGGTGTAGTCTAGGGACTTTTATTAAATGCATGGGTTATCAGGTCGAGATGCGCGCAGCCTAAACTTATAAGGGGTCATTAGACGGTAGCTACTTGCATGTGTTACTGTAAACCACATCAAACTGCTACGGCTCGATTGCTTAGATTGAAGAAAACTTGACAGACATTTTTGACACAGAATGATGGAAGGCCGGTTTCAAGCAAAAAATGAATGATGTACGGCAATGGCGCGCACTGATGTTCGATCATAGAGTTTAGGTGCTGCAGTTCCTTGAGAGAAATTTAGGAAAACAAACCTGTGCATCATAAAAGATTGCAAGGCCCTCATGGAAGAGGAGGACAGGTCG